TCTATTAATACTGAATCATGCAAGTTTGATAATTTTATTCGGTCATTCCAAGTTATGAACTCAAGTTGCATTTTATTTATATGCTCATTACATAAATTCAATTGTTATACATTTACATTAATGACTTTTTACATACTAATTAGTATGTCAATCTGTCACCTTGATAAGGTCTGATTTCACTTTGACATAGTCAGAACATCTTGATATTTGTGTATGAATAAAACAAGAAGTAGAGTATACATCAATGAGACAGCGACCCAATTCCATCCCCCACCCCCATCCAAAAAAAGTCATCTAAGAGGTCAACATGCATTCTCCAACAATAGATGAGTGTCTATGCAATATGTCAAGTCCAAAAAAGTTGTGGATAAATTTAACAGAGACCCTCAACACCAAATTACTGTTAATTGACAAAAAATATAAAGATATAACTAAAGATGACCACTTATGAGGTTCCATGTTTGGGACAGGCACATGGACATGTGGCAGTTTTTGAGATCTCAACCCTCCTAGTCAGTGGAATAACAAATATTACATAGAAGAGCATACAATAAAAATGAGAATAGATAAAAACCACTTAGGCATAATAGATAAAAAAAAACCACATGCATGTTAATATAAAAGAATGGTCACAGTACTTTATCAGCTGACATGAAATCAGACTGAAGTACCTATTGGTGGCTGTAATTTGGAGTAGATCTCATACAATAACTGGAAGACATATATCCAATGTGTAATTTCTTGAGGACAGCAGTTTTTTCAACAAAAACTGGTCTTTTATCATTAACATGATTAAGGTTTAATTATGATTATGATGAGAGGTCACAGTTTCAATGTCTTGTCAGTTCAAACTAAGCATTTGCTGTTTCTTGGCTATGAATACTGCATTTAGGAAGAAGAGCAAAGGGTGGACTTCAATTTGGGTTAACTGGTGTTTTTGGGTTGCTGACTGTTCTGGTCAGCTCAAAGTTGGGATAATATAAAATTAAGAAGATGTGGTATAATTGCCAATGAGACAACTCTTTACTAAAGACCAAATGATGTAGAAGTTAACAACTATAGGTCACCGTACAGCCTTCAACAATGAGCAAAATCCATACCGCATGGTCAGCTATAAAAGACCCTGAAATGACAAATGTAAAACAATTCAAATGAGAAAACTAACAGCCTGATTTATGTAAAAACAATGAACAAAATACAAATATGATATGATTAAATACAGCAACAAACAACAAACACGAATTACAGGCTCCTGACTGCATCTTTTATATAGGCTGACCTATTTTCCGGCAGACTGTTAATTAGTCCATTATCAAATCACCATATTCTAAATTTGATTATGGTTGGAAAACTGTCTGCTAAACATAGATTCATCCAGTGTTATGTACTCCCAGAGATCTATTAAATTCAAAAGAAGAGCTTATATCAGGACTAAAGTGGTTGTACAAACATGTATGAGTACAATACATTCACATTTTCTGTTTACCTTAAAACAAAACCAGTGCAAGTTTGTACAAATGTTTGACTGCCCTTGAAAATCCTGGGTCATGATTTTATGAGTTGATGAGATGATAAAACAATTGAATTAAATCTTTTGAAAGTCAGATCAATGTTGGGTGGGTCTAGATCTGTTTTCTCTATATATTGAATTACCCATTTAGTGCACAACTGTTTAATTGTATTGCATTAGGTATAAACTTCATGCAAGTCTTAACAGTTCTTCATAGATTAAAAGTACTTTTTCAATCAGTATTTTCAGCTTTTGCTATTGACAACTCTGACTGTTATTTCTTTAATGGGCCTTGCATCATTGACATAAAACAAAAGGCTTGTCAAGTAATTAAAAGCCTTATTTACAACTGAGTGACAAAGATCAAAAGATATGGATAATAAGACAAATATAGAATTTGACTATTTTCTTAAATGGGTTGTAAAATTATCATATTTCATATTTATACTACTACAGAACAATAAATTGATTTAGATATTAGTCAATACTTGGATCAATTTTGACCCAAACAATGTAAACTTCCACTTTTTGTCCAAAAACTGGAACTATCTTGATTCTTTCATGTGTCAGTCATATGATTATCTTTTAATTAACAAGTAAAAAGTCTTTGTTTTGTGTTTTGCTATGATTTATGAATCATTTGATAGGGTAAATGATACATAGTAACTGACACTTAACTAGTATTACGGTGGTTAGTTAGTTAGGTGTGTGTAACAGCCTACACGACAACTTGGTGCTCTAAGTTAAATAGTATTTTTTACAGAGGGACCTAATACTACGGCCAATACTTTCTCACTCTGATTTTCCGAATTATATTTGTTAACAGTTATGTCATAATTTCCCTTGTAATGGAAAATATGGTAATATGTTGTAATTTTATAATCTCATAATAGTGAGAATAAGTGCAAAAGATCTGTTGTCCTTTGAAATGTCATATTTTTTGGAAAATAAATCTTATATATTTTCCTTAGTCAAAGATTTATTATTGAATTGTCTCCCTTTGTACATATACAGTATAGTCAGTTAAAAGATTTGTACTGACATTATGGGTAAATCTGAAAAACATTTTTATCTGGTGTCACTTGAAATGTATAGATAAAATTGTTTAAAGATAATGATAAAACAAAGGCTCATTACATGATTATTAAATATTTGCATTTGTTTATGTTTGATCAAGAGTTCAGATGAAAGCTCTTTATTTTGACCTTAACTGAAATACTTTGTTTACATCCTTGAAAAGGAAAAATATTATATCAGTGTATGATATCAACAGATAAAAAATATATATGTCATTGCATAAATGGTTTATTTCATACATGGGAAATTACTTCGCATAATTAAATTTCACAAATATTTGAACAGGTGCTGAATTCATATTTGTTATTAATATTTTATTTATTATATGAATTGAAAGCTTTGTTTATTTAAATCATATTCATATAAAAGATTTAAACTGTATGCTCCCTATTGCTTTTAAAGTTATATATATTTAAGAACAAAAAATTACTTTACGAAGATTGATTTTGAACTGACAGTTTTTCATGAAAAAAGGATTGTTTGCTTGTGTATTGATACCAGTTAACAGATAAACTGGACACGAGAATGTTATTATTTATTGTTCTATTTATATTACCAGTAATTTAGATCAGGATATCTGACTAACATTTCTCTATTTTTTATCTCACCCTTTTGCCATCACTTGGCGTCAGTCATCTGTAGCTGTCTTCGTCCATTAACTTTTACTAATATCTTCTCCTCTGAAACTACAAGACCAAATTGAACCAAACTTGGCCACAATCATCCTTGAGGTATGTAGTTGGTGTTTGATGATCCTGCTGGCTAATTAACATGGCCACCAAGCCTAAAATAGAACATAGGGTTAAGGACCATTTGCTGGAAACATGAATTTAAAATCTTCTTTAGAAATAATGTTTGAAGACTTTCTAACCACCATCAAACATGGTCAACACTGTTACATGTACTTAAGAAACGAAATTTTACAAAAAAAATAATTAAATTCTGAAAATTCAAGTTTTGGGAAAGATTCATTCATGATCCTCTTGCTGAAATATGGAAAACATCTCAAATTGCAATCAAACATGGCTGTCTATCATAACAATTCCACCCAAAATTCTGGTAAGGCCTGTCTGCATCCAGACTTTTGAAAAGATTGCCTTTAAAAATTGATTAATGACCCAAAGTATTACCAAAGATAGCCTCCCACTTTGTTTGAGATAAAGAAAAAAGTTCAATAAAAAAAACAATTTTGACAGTATAACATTGAATGATTTTTTATAAGAATGATAGTTGAAAACTGCTAATGCTCTCTGCAATATCTGCCCTCCTTACAGGTACATACACAGAAAATTTAAACAAAAGGGGTGAGTGATGGGTCAAAGAATAAGATGCTATAAAATTTTGTAAAAGAATAAACTTATAATCTTAATTTGTAATTATGTTAATGCCTCAAACCACCCACAAACCCTCCAAAGTAACAAAAAATGGAACATGTGTGGGAGAGAGTTGAACAAGTAGGTTTTTTTTTTTAATTCTATGAGTATCAGATAAATCTTATGTAATATAAAGAATAAGATTTATCTGTAAAATCAAATTAAATTCATACAAATCTAATCTTGTTATCTCTCAACTCAAAGAAGACAATTTGTTTGCAAATATATTTGAATTATCTCCCATAGAAGACAATTTGTCTGCAAATATATTTGCAAAAGATCTGATACCTTATCACAAGGTAATAGTAAATTAGAAAATTATTTCAACCTCAAGACTGACTTCGTAAAGGAGGCTTATTTATCAATTAAAGATTTTAATATAAGAAGAGCTATATGTAAATTGAGAATAAGTGCACATGATCTTAAAATTGAGAAAGATAGGTATAGTAAAAAATACATAGAGAGAAGTCAGCGTCTATGTCATCACTGCCTATCACATGGATCAAATTCTATTGAAGATGAGACCCATTTCACAGTAAGTTGTCCTTTATATAACGAACAGAGAAAATTATTATGGGATAAAGTAAACAGTTTTTGTAATAATTTTAAAGAATTACCCAAGGATAAAAAATATTTCTGGCTGTTCACAAATGAGCATTTACCAACTCTTATGTGCCTAGGCAATTATATAATTAAGTGTTTAGAAATAAGATCCAGGTGGATACAAAATATATAAAATTATTATGCAATTATTGTTAATGTTATGTAAGACACATGATGTGTTAGGCTCTGATCCTGTCCAATATATGATAGTATTATATTAGGATATAGTTTTTCTTTTTTCCAATCATATTGTGCTTAATATTGTTGTAAATGATGCCCTTTATGGGTTCTTGATTAGATTAATAAAATTCTTATCTTATCTTATCTTATCTTATTTGAATTATCTCCCATAGAAGAAAATGTGTCTGCAAATATATTTGAATTATTTCCCTTACATTGCATTGAGTAAAAATTGATGTAACAAATTTGTTTTGCAGATAATTCTTAAAGTACATCTAGATGACAGTGAAGAAAGGTGCCTAGAATTTCCTGTTACTGCAGAATCTACATGTGAAGATGTACTAGCTTGTGTTCAGGAATCTGGTGAAGGATCAGCCATTTTAACACAGCTATCAAACGGTCATGGTATGTCTAAATAAGTCTAAAAGAGAAATGCATGATAATAGGCAAGACAATACAGAAATGACTATTTACAATCATGCAATGTTGTAAAAATACTGTAAAAGATTCATACTGATATGAAAAAGACAGAAGAAAATTTGGTATGATGTTTGGAGATTTTTTATGTTTGTATTTGCTAAAGTGTTGAATGCTAAAGGATTATTCTTTAGGATTTATGCAATGGCAAGTCAAAATTAATTTGATCTTTCTTGCATTAAACTTCATCATGAATGCTCTGAGCAAACATTTGAATGTATAAGTGTAAAAAGTGCAATAAACAATGTTATAAAAAGAGACCTAAACATAGAATGGTTTAATGGGAGCTTCACATGAGGAGTTGGAACCAAGGATGCCCTTATGAGGGATGGAGTTCAATTAGCAGGAAAGGAATTTTGACAAAAATTGTGAAGGATTTCAAAAAATGACTAGGACATTTAGGATATTTTAACAAAATCAGACAAAAGATTATTATTGATTGATACATAGGCAATTTCCTTACATATATTTTACCCCAAGTTAATAAACATAACACTAAAAATTGAGCAATAAGAACCCAGCGGCTCCAAAAAAAGTAACCAGATCCTGCACCACAAGTGGCACCCATTGTTTTCTTGCATGATAAAAATCTGTTGCAGTCAATGATGTAGAAAGGTGTCTGGCTATGACAATTGGAATATATCAATGGTCAACATTAATATAGATATCATAATATTCCTGATTGCATAAAACTATAACTTTCTTATTATGACAAGTTTTTAAGAAAAAAATTGAATGCCATTTTAATATTCACTAAAATTAATTTAGAAATGTAGTTTTTATTGCAAAAAAAGAGATTATCAAAGATGATATTTTCAGAACGTAGACTAGGAGAATATGAGAAACTATATGAGATCTTAAGTGAATGGGAAAATGACAGACAAGAAGTGAAGTTTTTCTTACGACATGAGAACAACAAGAACATTCCTGAGGAGTACAAAGATGAAATCCCTCCTGAACCACCGAGTGTAGACCTGTCTTCGGAAGATGATTATATGTTAGAAGTAGATGGTATGTCATAAGGGGATTAGGTTATGTTTATTCTTCTTCATTTCTTTTAATATTGTAACTTGTTCATGTACAATTTTACAATGATGGAAAGGGGGGATGGGGGTCTCTCTGTGAACTCTGGCTTTCTTCATCAATAAACACTGGCTGCTGTTATATAGCCAAGGTTGTTGAAAGTTGCATTATACACCAACAAATAAACTATACAACATTTGATTCTGAAATGATTCTGTTGAAAAGGTTTAAATTGAATAATGTCTAGCTTCATCCTTCCAAAACTTTTCAAATGATAAAGAGGACTTTTTTTTCTATTCCACTGTCAAGACAAATTTAATGCCACCCCATGTTACTGTTGATTCATTTATTTTTGTGAGTTTCAGTTTTCATGGATTGAGGAAAAGTTTGTATTTTGGAGGATATTTGATTGCATGGTTTTGCCAAAGTCTGCATACAAGCCTATGAAATATTTGTACTTTGTTGAATATTTTAAATTTTTGGTTTATCTCAGAGGGCAGACGAGCACAGCGGCAATCCAACACCAGTCTGGCATGTAAAGATAATTATTGATCAATACTCCCCTATGATGCAACGGCAGAGTTAATTTTATTTTGATTAATAATATATTTAAAATAAATACCCCCTTTTTTACTTGAAGTAGTTTGGTTTTGATTGCAGTTCTTTAATGATCTCTTTTGGATAAATTCACAACTTTTATAGGTTTTGGGTGACTTAGAACTAGACAACTTTCTATTGTTGAAGACTATTGTTTACCTTCATGTCTGATTTGGTTTTATTGTTTTCTTTACTGACATTTCTAATAAACATTAGACACTGAGGCAACTGTCCACTTTCCAATATTTTATTTTTCTGCGTTTTTTAAATGAAAGTTTAACTGACCAATGGAATCTCGCATGAAAAAATGTAATCATTCCTGTAATTTGATATTCCTGAGGTAGAAATTTAAAAATATCGTCAATCCTGAAAAAAACATTTTACCACCATAATATAAGTGCCATTATAAGATACACAAGACAAAGGTATAATTCAGTTTATTGTAAAAAAAAACATATATAAATTTACCAGATACAACTGAATTCATTGTACTATATATATATATGTGGTTTTCTTGGTAATTTGATTGTTTTTGTTGTCCTTTCTTAAGAATCACCAATGATGTATACAAAACAAAATATTAGTTATGTCATAAAAAGTAAAACAAGAAATCCCAATAGTAGGGACTTGTTACTGCAAACAAATCTCAAAATCAGTTGAAATATCAAGGAAATCATTTACATGTAAGGGAAATCTTAATGTGAAAACTAAATATCCATGACACAATACAAATATAAAATTTTCTGCATCTTTTGATAGCAATGTGTATAAGGAGAAGTCCAGTAAACATCAGCAAGCCAACAACAAAAGACATTTTACTTCATTCTCTATTTAGCCTCTTATGAAGTGATTACATGGTTTTTTACACCTATATAAATGCTACTTTAATTAGAATTTATATTTATTGACATATATTAACTTCCACATGATAAATGTTAATTAAACCTGTTTTAATAACTAATTAAACTATGTATGAATGAATTTTCTCAGATTTCACTCCTACACTTACTAATTATATAAATGGGCATAGGAAGTCTTCTGTATAACTTGACTGACAGCATGCCTTAATTAACCCACAGCTATGATTGATGCCATAAATGTACCGATTTTTTTTTTTTTCAACGATTGATTTTAAATTGTAGTCCGGTCAAAGGTTAATCATTTATTTTATCGTTAAATTCCTGAGACACCTTGGAGACATTAGAAAGTCTTACATTTTGTGACTTAAGATTTTACCATGTTGTATTAAACTTTTTAATGATCATATAGGTAGGGCATTTCACATGAAATCTGTTATAAAAAACAGTTATAAGGTAAAATGGCTCTTAAAAATTTGTATCACAAAGGGTTGATAATTTTAAATGTCCATTTTGCAGTGTTTGCTTTTATGGGAATAAACAATCTTTAGTCCATTTCTCCTGTGAAAATCAAAAGTTGTCTGAATTCCTAAAGCAATTTTGAGCAGTATAAAGTAAGATGTTATGAATTAAATGGGTTCCTATTTCTGGTCACAGAGTAAAATATCTAGCAATTAAGGTTTTGATCATAGGTGATAATAGAGTTGACCTAGGTACATATACACAATGTCATCCACTTAAAACAGGATATGTACCAAAATCTTTGTACTAGTTTTGAGCTTCTATTTAAATACTAAAAATACTCCATGAACTTAATGCCTTGAGTAATAATTGTTTGAGAAGATTGATGGAATTTTCTTTAAAAGAAACAATGATAAATTTATTAATTTAAATGTGAGAATTTGCTGAATCACAGTAGTCTTGATCAGTTCTCAGGTTCCTGTCTTCAAAATCTCCCTTGACAAAGATAACATATAAAATAATTCTATTTATGCGAATCTTTCTAATTATATGGTCATTTTTGAAGGTGGAATCGGAGATGAATTCAAAACTGGTTTTCAATAATTTAGAATATGGTTGTTCTCTTCGAGATGTAATCCAATGTATAAACTTTTCTTTTCTGATATGGAATTTGTTACACTTAAAAAAAAAACACTTAAAGAGTGTTTTTACATTTTTTTCTGCTTGTTTTTTTTTTGTTATTTGCTTTGCTAGCATTTTCCTGTGCAAAATGATGTAAAGCTTTGTTGTTTAAGAGTCGAGACTAAGCTTGACTAAGCTTAGTTTTCATAGTTTGTTATGTACTTATCATCACTTGGAAAGTGTTCATTCTCAGTTTGGTAGCCAGACGTTGATAACTTGGGGCAAAATTATTAGTGGCTTATTTTTAATTTATTCCTTTGATGAAGATAGGTACTTTTCTGTTTCTGTTTCTGCCAAATAATGGCCATAATTACACAAAACTTATTATCCTGCTATGATAATATACTGATAGCAAAGTATTTTTAGAAGAGTGCCATTTAGGTACTTATGTTTTAGATTATGTATGGTCAAATTTAAAGTTATATCAGCTGATATCTCTTCCTGTAAATTGACCTTCTGACGGGTTATTTTTTTAATATTTTGTTTTAATTTCATGTCAAATTCCTAATTACCGTACCGAACATTGACATATTTGAATGTAACATGTCTACGATGTATTTAGATATTGTTCTTCAAATATCCTGCCCCTCATTATTTTTACAATATAACATGTCTGTACCATATTTACCCAGCCCTTTATAGTTGACTGGACTAAATCAACATAAAATTGACAGTGTCAATAGGTTTATGTAGTAAATTGGGTAATGATAGTCTCTTTATCTTCACCTGATTAAATAAGGTATTCTGATTAACTAGACCAAAGGTAGATTAGTATATAAACATACAGGATTGGTGTCGTAATATCCAGGTACTGGGATTAACTAGGATTTACAACATTTACTGGTATCTTAATATTATTTTGGTCCTTCTGTATAGGGCCTAGTACAGAGATATTAAAATATTATTTTGGGCCTTCTGTATGGGGCCCAGTACAGACATATTTAAATATTATTTTGGTCCTTCTGTATGGGCCTAGTACTGAGATATCGAAATATTATTTTGGTCCTTCTGTATGGGGCCTAGTAAAGAGATATTAAAATATTATTATGGTCTTTCTGTATTGGGCCTAGTACAGAAATATTAAGGGAACAACCGTTTAACTTCAAAGGGGGGGGGGTTATGGTTTTTTCCTAAAAAAATATTCTGATCCCCAATTTGATGACAAAAAAAAAATGATTTTTTCCTAAAAAAATATTCTGATCCCCAATTTGATGACAAAAAATATTGTGGTCAAGCAGATGACAAAAAAAAATATTCTGAATCCAGATTTTCCCATTCCTTATAGTGTTAAATTTTGAAAAAAATAATTTGATTGATAGCGTCGAAAAAATTTTCTGACTCAGACAAAAAAAACCATAACCCTCCCTTGAAATTAAATGGTTGCTCCCTAAAATATTATTTTTGGTCCTCCTGTATGGGCCTACAGCAGAGATTTACATAAGAATAAGAATATTTATTATTCCAATCAAGGGCCCTTGGTGGGCAACATAACATGTACACATAAAACAATACATCATGATTTGTAACAGAAAAACATTTTTCATTTACATACATTTTCCTATATTCCTATTCTTTCTATTTCATTTTGATAGTTTATCTGTTCTGTTATAAGTCATATGTAGCTGTGGTGGGGAGATATATAGCTATTTACAGTGCTTTGTATCTCTTGTCAATGATGTAGAACCTGTGTAAGATGTGTCCCTAGCTGATGTCTTCTTGTCACTATATACATTGAATAAAAGCCTTGCATGAGGAAATTGGTTATTAGGCACAGCTTTTCCACTTACTCTGCATCTCTTCTGTCAGTGTTCGTTCTCCAGTTCCTGACCCTTATCTTAATTGACTAAGTATGCCAGTTTTCCTACCGAAGGTTACCAGTTCTCTCCTAGTACTCAGGCTTTCTCCAACAACAAAATTGGCCTCCAAGTAGCCAAAAGTGTTGAAAGTGGCATTTAACACCAACGATCAATCAACCAATCATTTCCTGTCATTGGCCCTATGATATTAATTGATATGAAGTACCTTAGACTTTGGGGCTAAATAAAGTCTAACCATACATGCCGATTTACAATTTACTCCCTGTAAATATGTTGCAGATCTGCTCTTATGAATGTATAATATGGAGTATGGTTATTGAAAAATGAACTGTTAATCATACAATGAATAACAAAAAAATCAGCTTCATACATTCCTTTCTTTATTATATTTATGGGATTGCATAACTGAAAAAAATCACTGGTAATTGCATTTTACTAGAAAACAAAGAAATTAACATATTTATTTACAAACCTCTGTTTAATATGATAAAGGCATGACTGTGAATAATGTGTAATGAATATTTCACAGAAATTGTACTGGTTTGCATTTTTACCTGGTAGAATATGTTATAAAAATTAGACATATATTTACAAAATTGTTTTATTTGAAATCTGTAATTCAAGTTAATGTTGGCCTGCTTTTAATTTCAGAGAAAATTTTGATGTAAGATTCTTTAATATTGAAACAAGGTATCCTTTTAATTTTTTAATGTAAACTTTAAAACTTGAAAAAGTCTCTGTTGGTCTATGCAGGATTTTGATATGAAGACATATTATACATTAATTCATGATAGGTATTTTTGATGCACAATTGGCAAATAAGTATTAAATAACACAATACCCAGTGAAATATTTTACCGTGAGACCTTGTATCTCTCTGGGGTTGTCATTGATCACTAGTCAAAAGATATTAGATCTGACTAGATTTCCTCTTAAATTGATCAATTTCCACCTGTCAAATAGTAATCTTGTGTTTAATTTTCATTATATCTACCTGTTTGATGCACTAAGGTAAAACTGAAATAAATGTTCCCTTTATAATTGATATTTACGACTTTTGAGAAAAAATATATTTTCATGCGGCTTCAAAATTTACCATCAACTTACTGAATAGATTTTTATGTGATTCAGGGTAAGAATAAAATTCCGAAGTCATACCCTATTATCCCTCGGTAATTGTTAGATTTTAAGGAGATTTCTATATAGTACTCTCTGTAAATGTCACCTGCATGCAAAAATTTAAATCAGAAATTTGCCCCAATCTCTTAGATAAAACTTATGAATGTACTTTGCTAAGTAAACATAATAAGTTTTTCTTAAATGCAATTATTTGTGTACACAACCAAGAAATACAATTTGTAAAAACATTTGTATTTATTGTATAGGCCACATACGTAGAAATTGCAGGTCACGATAGGTAATAACATGATCGGCTATTATGAGATTAGTCATCCAGAATATTTTTAATCAAGGTAAATTATGGATGTGTTTTTATTATCACGGTCAAGATAGAAAAATCCATTCAGAGCTTGGAATTTTTATCCTCTCATGTTTATTCATAAATATTGACTGATTAATAGGATTAACAAGAATTTGTCCACTTATTAGATACAATTTAGAAGGATTTTAAATCAGTCATATGGTAGACATTCAAACATCACTTAAAAATTGAAAACAGCAATTAGTGAAGTACATGTACTTGAATATTAAAGATAGCCAAGGTATGTGGGAGATACCTGAGAAATGACCAATTTACCTGTACAGGTCAGCTGACTCTGTTGATCAGAAATCTACGCTGTGGATTAATCAATTTCTCCGTGTTATTTTCATTGAGTGGATTGTTTTCATAGAGAACTTGACAAATGTTTCCTTAGTCGGAAGGTTCAAATATTTTCCGTTGGATTTACTTTCACTTGAGCTGGATTATTTAAATTTTGTGGTTTTTATAAGATATTTGAAGAATGCGACCAGGTAAGAAAAAGGTCAAAATCACCATTGATCTGTGCTACTGTTACAAATATTGATTTGTAAATTGTGAGAAAACGATGTTTTTTGAATTTATTTTAAAGGTTTAGGTGGAAAATGATAGATTTTTAAGACTTTAGTTAATTTATGAATTCTAAATAATAGCTAGGGATAAGCTAAAAACACTTTGCTGGAAAAATATATAATTGTTACTATGAAAAGCAAGTTAGAAATATTTGCTGGAAAAATATATAATTGTTACTATGAAAAGCATGTTTATCATATTAATAGTTACTCGGAAAACCAACTGCCTACATATTGTTTCTAAACAAAATTCAAATTTTCTAATTTCAAATCAAATTTTGAAAGCTATGCATGATAAAACCTAACAAGTTAAAAGCAGACATTATAGGCTTAAATTTGTCTGTATTCAGATTAACCAAAATCAGTGACACTAAAACAAGAAATTGAAACTCTAGAGATCATGATGAAATGAAGTTATCTTTACTTATAGAACAGTCTACAATAGCAGTAAAACCAACCAGCTTTCAGTTTTGATTTTTTCCTACAGTTAAAAATATAATTTTATTCTTCCCAAAAATTACTTAAAGTTTCTTTTCCATCTGAATATTTTTCTTGCTTTAATATTGATTTTGATACTTGTTATGCTTCTTTGTTGCTAGTAATATCTAATAATTACATTGTCCATATAAAGTTAAAAGCTTGAAATGGCCATGTATAACATTATAAGTCCCAGGTGTTCTGACAATATGCTACTAAGTCATAAAAAATGACCCAAGGTCTTTTGAAATTATCTTCTATTGGCTTTCTCACCTCCCAGGTAAAAAGTCCATCTGTCTATAAATCAGTATTACAGAGAATAAAATAGATTGCTTGATGGCAAACTTTAATACTTCATTCGTCAATCTTATACAATTACTAATAGGCTTATTTCAGGGCGAAAACACAAACATTGCTTACAGAATCATAAATTTCTATGATAAAAGATTCACAATTTTATTTTTTGAGAAATTAAAAGGGTTCATTTTTCCTTCAGATCAGATTTTGGTCAGATGGGTTTTCATGAAATAAAGAGTTGCATGACATGTCAAAATTTTTAGACATTGTTCATTTATCAAATATTGTTATCTATGAAATCAGCTTAAGTCATTCCGCTTAAAAAAATCTTAATTTCTTTATTGTCAGTTAGAACGTCACTATTTTCCATTGTATTTTTCATTAGAAATAATATATATGAAATAATGCTAATCTGTATTTGAGTGTATTGCATTAAAAGGGTTTTTGAAAGAAAACAAATTGAAATAAAACTGTGCTGTATGTATAAAGTAAACTTTATATGAGCATCATCCATCTGTCAGAAATATGGTATAAAAACTAAAGAAAACAGATCCATGAGAATATACTAAAATAAAAAGAAAAAATTCTGCTCATGTAAAAACAAGGGATGGTCATGTGATGAAAGAATTCTTGTTTAGTATTGCAGATGGAAAAGACTTCAAGATGATGAACAGCAATAATAGCATTTATCCTTTAATATACATTCATGTTTTGTAAGCTTTTTCACATTCCATAGATGTATATCACATTGACATGGTATGTAAAAGTGTAGCTTTTGAGGGTGACCAGCTTACAATAGGCAGTGTATATTTGGTTTCAGTGTTTCATGAGATTTTATCTTATGCATATCTCCATGCCAAATATACTGGTACCTTATTTTTCAAAGTAGAAATATATTTTTTGAACATCCTTGGAAATATGAAACAAATATGCTGAAAACTTAACAAGTGCTTATTTTAGATAAATCTTATATGTGATCTTAAAATAAAAATTAGAGAGAGAAAAAGTTATCAAAAACTTACAAATTGCTTAACAACAATTGCTTAAATGGTTATGACCTTTTTTTAGTTATGTTTTTGTCAGAATTAAAAGGTTTGTAAATTCCATTGAAGAAAACAAAATCTACTTGTAACAAACTTAGGAGAAATTTGATACAAGAACAAAGAGTGTCTTGTTTCATTCTTTTAACCTTTAAATGAAATTTAAAGACATTTACAAGAAACATCTTTGAGTTTGATTTTTAACCCTAATTGGGGATAATCCCTTCAAATTAAAAACTTTCTGACTCACACACAAGTACAAGTAAACAAAGTTGTTTATAGTATTTCTAATCATGTGGAAGTGATAAGAGTCTTATTGATAGTTTATACCCATTTATTGTTCTATAATTTCTTATAACATGCAACTGTACATGTTATATTAATGTTCAAAAATAATAAAATTTAACAACCTGTCAGAGACGAACAAAATTTCAAAGGGAACCTGTCCTGGGGACAATTTTGAAAGTGTTAGTTTATTAGTCCAATATATCTCATGTTAACATACATGTTTGACCAGATTAAAATTTAAAATAAGGAAGAGATTTAAAATATATCTTTTGTGATGTAAGTTGAAACTCTTTGAAGTTGACTCTTTGGTTACTGATGTACCCTCAAGGTTTGAACTTTTGATATAAAGCTGATTCTTTAGTTAGAATTGAATTATTATGTAGCTCTGTAACAATGGTTGATGATATACTAAATGACTCTATATTCTATAATGATGAGACCTTACTTAGGATATTAGACCTTAGAACTACTTATTGGTTAAAACTTGGAGGTAAACTTCTGAATAATGTGTAATATTATTATCAAATGTGTGTGTTTTTAAACATGGTAGAAGTTACGTTGGAAATGAATCGAATTGATAGTTTATTTACTTTGGATGTCTATTTTTAGGTCAAAGAAGCCGATCTAGAAATGGTATGAGAGGTCCACCACCTTCAAGGAATGTGGTATGTAGCTAAACTATATCTGTTTGAATAATTTTATTGGTCTTGTGGATTTGAAACAGACAACAATTACCAAGTAAATCTGTCCCTCCGTCATTGAAATTCACAACCTGAAATCAAATACATTGCAATAGTAGTTCTAAACATATCTAACATAATATACTAGTAATTACCTTGTTAAGCATATTAGCATAGAACTTAGTAACTGTTGTGACAATATCAATTTAAAAATAAGGACTTGTGGTATGATTGCCAATGAGACATGAAAGCTGTAGTTCATCATACAGCCTTCAATAATGAGCAAAACCCACAGCTTATAGTAATCTATAAAAGGCCCTGGATATTCTGATAAGACAATGTAAAACAATACAATAGAGAAAACTAATGGCCCATAGAAAGCTAATTACATTAAATGAGAAGCAATTATGTTAAAGCTGTTTTGATTTTTGTTATGTTGCAAAGTATTTCTGTTTACAAAGCATGATACTTTCTGTTGTGGTTTATTGTAGCTGCTTCAATCTTTCAAAATGGAATATGGCCAAAATATAAGATTGACCTTTCAAATTATGATTTATTATATTATTTTTCTTTTCATTTAGCCTAACAATACTTTATAATCCCTAAAACAAACTGTTATTAATACTACTTTGATATGGAGGGATCAAAGATTTTAATCTTTATTGAGTACCCACTTTATATGGCAAACACCTGTATATGTGCATGCTGCCAGGTGACATTTATCTGGAAATCAAAATGAAATAGTAATCAAATTTTATTGAATAAATTTCTATCACTCATTTATTCTGTTTGAAGGACAAGTCCTATTTGTAAATTTGGTTTGAGTGGAAGATAATGTAATTTTATTGTAGCCAGTTGCCTGTTTTATTGGTCTTTACTGTATTCTATATTCATTGATGGATAAAATTTCCTGAAATTTGAATGAACGTACAATTCATTGTGGTCATTAATGAAAAATATTGAAAATCAATTTATTATAAGGCTGTTAATCAGAGTTGCTGATAATTGACTGTTCATGACCTGTTGTGTTCATTTGAATGCATGAAGCAAACTAATGTTATTAAAATGTCATGCTAATAATGATATCTCTTTTATTTAAACATATGGAATAGGATGTATTTCTTTTGGTTGTCATTTTCAGTTTTAATCAAATATTGTATTTAGAAATTTATGGGGACACACCTATATGTAACTGTCCGATATTTTCATGTCATTTTTAACAATCATACTTGTAAATAGAACGTTTAATTTTGTGACATCAGACATTCCATTGTATGTATGACAATAATCATAGATACGGCACTAGGAGGTAGCTACCGTGAGGGGTGAAATTCGTATTAAAATTCATACATATAGATTACTAATCTGTTATAATATTATCATAACAAATTATCGATTTGAATATTTTAGTAAACAGAGACTTTATAGTTTAATTCTCAACATTTGCTCATGTAAGCAAGCAAACATCCTGTTATTTAATTAACATGAATTTTCATTGTTTAAGTAAATGTTGAAAAATATTTATTTTATTATCTTACATTAAATAATGTAATATGTTACAATCATGAATTATTTCAAAGTGTGAGCTTGTGGTCACTGTATACTTTTAGTTATTAACCAAATTTTCATTGACATTACCAAAACATGGGCTGCGCAAAGTTAAGTCTGGCAAATAGTCAGCATATAAGACCTACATGAAAAACATTTTACTGAAGTTTTAAGGTCATCCATTATGTTGTCAAGTTAGTTAGAGGTCAATAGATGTCCTTATAATAAAAACATTGAATTGTAATCTTAAAAAGATTTGATAGACTTTGACATGCAAGAAGAAAATTATCAGTATTGTGACAGAAGGCATTTAATCAGGCTATTGCCCTGTTAAGATTGGTCTTTAAGGGGAGATAATCTAAATAGCAGGTCATAAGGTGACCTAATCTTGTGTAGAATGAGGTTGGAATTTGATTGTTTTTCTGACATGTATCAGAATATAAAGGTGATAAAACTGTCACACATAATATTAAATGTGATTTGTGACCTTATTAATTACTTCTTTGTTTAGTATCTTTGTAAAGGAGTCTTCTGATTGTCCATTTCTAATTAAGTGCTCTACTTTGGTATTAGAGAGATATATGGTTTTCTTTAGAACTTTGCCTAGGTAAACAATTAATGGATAAAGATTTTGGTTCACCGAGATTTTTTACAAGAACATGTTGATTTAGCTTTTTTTGTTTTTGAACTAATATTTAGCACAGATATCAGAAAAGGTTAGCATAGGTATGTTGAGACCCCTTTCAGTTATAATTTAAGCAGAAAAAAAGGCAAATTAGATCTATGCATGAATTTCTCTAAAAGAAAATTTATTTTTCTTATAGCATTTAGGGCAATTTTTAACCAGATTTTTTTATTATTGAATGGAATATTTCCTCATTTTTCTCAAAAAATGGATGAACTTGTATCATGTGTTCAATTTCATTATTACTGGTAGTTTTTCATATTTCATAATTATAGAAATATATATTTTTCTAACTCTGTTCAGTCTTGTCTCAAGGCCACTAGTTGAAGAATGTAACTTGTATCTCCTTGACAAGATACTGAATTCCATTACAGATTACGTTTGTTACGGAAAATTGCTATGAAGAGGTTTTCCCACAGAATGTTATATACGAATCTTATTTACACTTAATTTGAATTTTAGATTTGAACAGGTCATGTAGAACACATTATTGTGGTGATGTATAATCAACAACAATCATGTTTATTTCAATAGAAAGTCATCATTCAGCTGAAGGCTTTACAATATTTGAATAAAAAATCTTCATGGTCTTTATTGTACTTTATAAAAAATCTTTTTCTGTTATTTTTATAAAGAGATAAAAACATTTAGATCTGATTAAATATTTGTTTAAAAACAGCTAGGGTAACTGGATCACTGAAAGGTTTGTCTAAAAAATGTAATCAAATTTTCTATTTGTACCACAGCATAGTTACTGTGTAAATCTGACAAGTTGTTTGGATACAGTTAACCAAGATTTTTTTAAATATTTTTCCACTTCTGAAAAAGCAGTATATTTTTTACCTTTTGCAATTGTTAATATACCCAACTGGACCATATAGATTACATATACCTGCACTGAATTAATGCACTTCAAATTATTGTGGGCTTCGTACAGTTTAAATTGGGCGATCATGTGACCCTGGCTGCATATTGATTGTATTGCACCAGGTAGTTTTATTGTACCAACCAAAAACCGGCAAGAAATCGGACAGAAATTGACACATGCAGGTAAAAACCACAAATACCACAAATCGTTTTACTTTTCTTTGATTGAATGTTTTACAATGTTCGTTTTTTATGAATGATTAAAGTGTGCTTATTATTTGCTGAGGATATAAAAACATCAACACTAGTAAGTCAGGTGAGTGTTTTCAAAGTAAATATGATGGTTTTTTATTAGGCTTTTAATCAAAATTTGTGAAGCAGGAAAAAGTATATTATTGATTTTTTAAATATCCTTGATAAAATATATTAAGGTAAATCTTTGAATTTACGTGTAATCAGTCAGAAAAATAATGGCCCATAACTAAATAAGTAAACAGTTTGGTAGTAACGGTACTTAGCAATTTTTTTTTCATTTTACTTAACTGTGGTATTCTTTTTTAGTTGTCTTAAAATATAAAGTTGACCATGATTTAAGGTTATTCATTTCTATAAAAAGACAGAAAAGTTTGTTGATATCACAGTAAGCCCAGCGGTAAATGCAAGGGGTGAAATGAAGACCCAATGGAGATATCACATATGTCATTCTGTGTTAACTAACCATTGTATTTTGAAGTGATTGATACATTTTGTAGTAACAATACTGGTTGTGAGCTAGGTGACTGTACTTTGAAAACATTCAGTTCAAATATTTAAATCTATAAAATTACACATGATGAAGATCCAAGGATTTTGGAACAGTATCCAACAGAGGTTTTATAGCAAAGTGGTTAAAATGGACTGTAATCTTCCATTTGCAAGATGTCATTTGGTGATAATCTTTGAAAAGAGTTTTATTTTTTCAGGGGGAGACTAGCTGGGTTTTTGATTGCATTAAACTTAATCTCTAGCACTGAGTTCAATTTTGTTTCGATGATTTAGTAAAGTATTGTAAAGCATTTGGAACAGATACGAGATCTGCAATGGAGATCATAACTGATTTATTCAAACCAATACCATTGTTGATTTCAAATGCGTTTAATACAAGAGTTTGTTTTTTAATGAACTTTCAGGGTTAAGTTCTTTTTAAGTAAAACATCTGCATGATTTGAAAAACTCAACAATAAAAAAAAAAAAAATAAAAAATTTTACTTTCATACAATTATATTATAATCCTCTTTAGGCCATTACATTTTTGTTTCCTTTTTTGGAGAAAAATTTTCAATCAACTTTTCTGTGTTCACAGAAAAGAAAAAAAGAGTGAATTAAAATCCAGTAAAAATATTTTAAAAAAAGAATCAAATCCATTCAAAACTTATTGAAAATTTAGGTGTACTTGGTTCACACCAGGGTCAATCCCATTACATTGTCATTTGGTTTACAGGGACATAAAGATAGTTTGTGATAATTGGGAACCTGATGGCATCTAATGGATAATTGAAATCTTATTTGTCATCACTATAAAATAAATGGTAAAATGTTTTTATTACAAATCATATAAAAGACTTATTTTCTACCCTCTTATAAGGAAATGAAATATATTTTATTTTGTGGTTTATGGTCAAATTTTCTCTATTTAGCATTATTCGTTGGTGTTTCTACAAATTACTTATTTAAAGTTATAGGTCAACCATGAAATATGTTTTGCTCTTATTTAAGGTCAATAGGTTGCTTAAAGAGTATTTCATTTGATTCATTAAAATATTTTCATGTCTGAAAAAACCAGTCAGACGTTACTCAGCCATTGACAGTCGTCACAAGTGATATCACAAAAATTAAAGTTGGAGAA